AACATCATTCACGCTCAGTGGACCCGGTTCCTCAGCGGCAGAGGTCTTAACTGTCCCAAGTATTGCGATATTTTCCCAGACTATGAAAAGTCGAACACTACAATGCATCACAACTTATGCCCATCAGCAGGCCAATGATGGTCTACAACATTCTTCGTATAGAGCAACAGTCTTAAATCTACCTAGGCCCTGATGAGAAAAGGGATCCTCAGTTGTTTCGACAGGTTGGTTACCCGTAACAGTGAAGGGTGGCACGATCCTCTTAGACTTGGAAATCTGTTCTTTGAATCTCCTGGCTGATATGAGCATACTTGACGGCAACCGCATACCCAAGTGGATGTATCTAGTAAGTCTACGAATGCACAAAGGTGTTGTTAACCAACATCATCCATCTCACACAGCATTGAGGAGCTCAATAACCTGCAACAGATCGCTCTGCCACCTATTTGCGAATCCAGCAACAGCTTGCCGGACGTTGTCTACACAAGAAGCCTCATCAACTCATGTATAGGAAATTCAAAATATGTGCCTGCTGTAAAGATGTTGTAGTATCGATGAGCTCACTCTCGATATTGTTCCGAACGCTATCTCGCCAACGCCCCTCATCAACAGCAGTATTTATGTCGTCCATGCGGGTGCGTACTCCCTCCAGCTGTTTCTGTCTGCATCTGACGATGAACGATGGTAGATCTTCTTCGCCTACATCTTCCTCCACTGCTCTAATTGACTCTCGCGGATGTGTTCGCCCGAACGCAGTCGTTCAGATTCCCACCTCTGTGCGACCTGACAACATCAACTGATGGAGTCCCAGAGCATGTGTATAAGTCGGAAGATACACACATAAATAGTCGTACATAGTCTTTGAATTCTTCGAATTCTTGTCGTAACTCTATTGCCTCTTGTTTGAGGGAGCTACAGTCACCCCCCACCTGAGCAGATCGATTGCGTATGATGGAACCAAAGAATCGCAGCAGTTGTCCTTCCATAGTCGTACCGTTTTCGCTTTCAACTCTGTGATCTCCTCGGCGCGTTTCAAAAACTTCTCAAGGGAGCGCGTCATTCTAAGCTCTACTTGGGAGTTGAGAGACGATACCTACACATGGCTAGATCCATATCTACCCTCGACCAATCTTGTTCACAAAAAACGCACAAGGTAAATTTCAACTCCGATTGAGGGAAGTGGTGAAAAACCAACACGGTACAAATGTATATCCTCATCCTCGACAGTTCCTCAACTTAACTCTCTTTTGAGTTCGTCGTATTTATTCTCGGACTCTTTCTTCAGAGCTGTAGACCTAATCCAAACTGTTTTCCTTTCGGACTGTGAGCGCATTGGCGATCCATGACGCCAGTTTCGAGCGTGTGCCTCCCACCACCTTTCATCAAGGTCCGAACATTGCCCTCCCAGCTTAGCGATTTGATCGGTAATACCCTGGTGAACCGATTTAGCCTCAGAAGCTAGCTCGTCACTACGAGCATAACTACCAGGAAACATCAGTGCAAAAGCCATCCAGTAAAAAAGACAACCTCCTGGAAATTCCAGTTTCAATCAATGCGGTCAGTTTTTCCTCAACCACTTGTATGTCACTCTCAGTCTTATCTGAACATGTCATCATCAGGAACGCTCTACTTTCCCTATTGAGGTGGATCGCAATTCTGAGATCCATGCCTTTCCACGAGCATTACGATTTATCTCCTCCATTTTCGTGCTGATAGTGTCCACTAAGTCATGGACAGGCGCCCGTAACTGTCGAGGGCTGCGACGATGCAGAGGTTGTTCTTCTCACTCGTTGTATAGAGTTAGATAACTTCTCCTGTATGTGTTTCGAATGTGCTTCCAGCTGCGAATCACAATTTTTTCTGACCTAATATTAACGTCTCCAAGTTTCCACCTCTCCCCAAACTAACACACCACCCTACCTCATGGACTGCTTCGTCCAACTTCTTCACCCGACTCCTAGCGGCTGATACCTAATCCTCGCGAGACGGGGAGCAATGCATCAAAGGCCCACTTGAAGGGCTGTGTCTTTGTGCGACTTCTCGAGCTCCATCAACCTCTGTTTGACCATTTGATCTGTCTTCATGCGCTCTTCTACAACACCAATGGTCGAGCAAGATTCATCCAATAGTTCTCATCGTGGTCTCACCATCCTGCCCTTTGCGAGACTGCAAGAGTGTATCGATGCCTTCCTGCACACCCCGAGCCAACTCGGCCATGCGCGAGACTGATCTGCGAGAAGAAGTGTGGAGGGTCCTCCGCGAACTTCCTCAGAAAAGCGAGAGCTCTTTCCGACAGGGCGGAATAAAACGTTCAGTTCAGTATCGTTCTCATAAAAACTTCAGGAATAGGACATATGCACATACTAGCATTCCTGTAGATATCATGCACATGACGTAGGCCTGCAGATTCGGCTCAGTCTTATCCAATAACAACACCTGTCTGTGATTTCTTGCGCACAAGACGTTGCCGCATTTATTCGTTCTTCAACCCGATTTTCCAATCTCTCCCTATCTGTCAAGAGCTCGCAGTGGCCGACCGAAATAATGGGCTCACCCGATTGGACCGCGTCTACCGTCGCTGCTACTGAAACTAACTTCTCGTCAATTGTCGAAGTTGCTCGACCTAATAGCATTCACGCCAATAGACCACTCACTTGAAGCCTATATGATATAGGCTCCCTCTCCTGCGGGCTACCATCCGCAAGACTCAGAGGGACTTACTTGCAGATCGACACAAATCACTGCACTTGGCTACTCTGTTCGAGAGATCATTGAACGACACGCCTGAAGAGATGTGGACACTTTCCAGGGGATTTCAGAGGCTATATAGGGACATAATAACATGAGCGTGCATCTACTCATGGGCGGACAGGCTGAGCAACCCGTACATAGCTTCTGATCCAGATTGCTGACCATATGTTCGAGGCGTGCAAGTTTGACGCCGAATTCCTCTCGCAGTAAGTTCGTATTACTCTCGAGCACCTAACGATACTCAGATGATTGTCATCCGGTTCGCGAAGCCAGGTGGACCTCAATAAAATGAGCCGACAAAGTTGAGCTAGGGCCAACCCGAGGGGACTGATAAGAGCTCCCATTGATAGCCATGCTCTGATGTGAGATACTACTGCTGGCCCGTGAATGAAGTGCTGGTGGAGAAGTCATCAGCTTGAACAACTACAGCATCTACCACTTGTTGTATCAAACGTTGAAAGATCGAGACTTCGAATTAGCGGCGACGAGTCATCCGAGATGCCACTAACGAGTATCATGCGTACCAGTTCATGCTAGTCGCGTGTGAAGGAGATCAATCACTGGACATTCTCTCTGCTTTCGTTCTCATGAAAATGAGAAAACCTTTCGATCACTGGGGTGCTCCCATGAGCTAGCAATGCCAAATAGCCTACTCGTCCCTCGGCTTTCGAACCTCCCGTCTTATTATCGAAGCCTCACTGAGCAGTTGTTCACTGTCAATAGCAGACGAGCTATGTTAAGTGGGCCGTGACCACCATAACGCTCAGTCCATGATCAGGAACGAGACACAAGCATGCACTGTTCAAGAATCTTGAATCAAGATGCGACAAGATTGGCCGCTTACTGTACACCGATTACCTCGTGCTGTTACTGATAAGACCCGACAGGATCCTTCCAACCGTCGCCCTTTTATAATTGACAACTCGAACGGAATCAGTCATATCATGTGAATGATTAATAAAACTCGTTTTTCACATCGACACCAACCGCCTCATGAACGTTGCTGTAGCCATCTTTCCGAAGCAACTCAGCCAAACCACAGTTGATATCCCGGAACACCCATGGGCCCTCGTATACCATACCAGTATATACCTACAATGCTAGCATGCAGTCGATCTCCCCGTAACAAGAGGAGCATTTCGTTGAATTCATAGTTGGCAGTTTTCACGGAATGTCCCGACTTGTTGGTCAATGACCCCCCACAATGTTGAATCGTAAGACCATCTCACGAGTAAAATCACAAGTATGTCATTATAAAAATGTCACGGGTATCAAAAAGATGAAAAAAGGTTCCTTGCCTGTATCAGCGACGCCCCATTCCGTATCAGACGGTAAGCATCCTGAGCTGTGAAGACTCCTCCACAACCAATGATAGGGACCTACACTCAACACGGTCAAAGAATGATCATTAGGCTACTCGAAACCTACCTTTCCTGCTGTCACTTTATAGACGTGTCGTACGAGATTGATCGCTCGTTGTCGGGCGGGCTTGCCACTGATGCCACCCTTCTCTCCGTGGTTGCTGTCTCCGACCGACCTGATCAGCTCCATACGACACAAGAGTCTCGAAATAAGACCAGCTGCCTACCTGTCCAGATTGAGGTCGTCCCCTCTATCTGCGATAGTATTGATCATCACAAAACCATCAACACCAAGCTCCACCGCCTTCCTCACCATCCTCGACACGCCTTCGTAGTATCTACCATTTCCACCTAGTGAGGACTCCAAGCACAACTGCGATCACGTGTCATCAGCCTCAGCTGGAGGTGGACTCAACTTCACTAAGACCGGCTTATCAGGGTAGTTATCACGTCTCCAGGTTAGAAGTGCCCCAAGGAGCTT